CTGGCCGGGGCAGGAAGACTGACTCCAGACCATCTAAGTCCTGGCCGCGGGCTGTTTCTGCTGCCCCTGAGGTTTCCATATTCTCTTGCATTCCGTGCAGTGATGGCAGATGGTGTCAGCTGGGAGCTTTCTGATTCAAGGACAGGAATCCAACTGAAACTACTTGATGCAAAGAGAGACTTTCTTGGCTCCTGTCACTGAATATTCTAGATTTTGGCTGCCCATGAATCTGGCTGTGTCCTGGCGCTCCAACAAAGATACCGAGGCTCTCTTTTGCCTCCTTTCATCTTTTTTTTTTTTTTGTCTTCTGGGTTGGCTTTACTGTCAGGTAGGATGGCCCTAGGTGACAGCTGTGAGGATTCCAAACGTGCATCCTGCCAGCTCAGCTCCTCAGTAGAGAATCAAATTATCTTTCCTAGTAACAGGAGCACAAGTCCTGGGTTTGCATTTCATTGGGCGTGGCTTCGGTCACGTGTTTATTCCTGATCCAATCACCGTGGCCCATCAGGAACTGAGATCTGATTGGGCAGCCTGGGTCATGTACCCACTCATGGGCCTGGGAAATGGCTCAGCCCCCCCCCATAAACCAGGGAGTGAGAGGGAAGGAACAAAAATAGGGGTGCTGCTCACAGAAGCAAGATTGATGCTGGGTGAGCAAAACCATCATCCAAATATATGTTTTCCAATGAGTATGCCAACAGTCCTAATATTTTATTTTGCAAATAAATATATTTGAAATATCCAGTAAATTATAAATTACAAGCAGTGGTGATGATAAGTTCATATATTAAAGAATTTTTTTTTTTAAGCTGTGAAGGACAGCATGGCACAGTGAGACACATACATGCCGATACAGGGCGGGGGCGACATTGCATAGATTTGTAGGTAGGACCCACATTATTTATTTGTTGCACCTCTTTGGATTCCCGTGGGCGTTTTCTCATGGACTCCACGTGGGGATGGGAGTTTGCACAGCACTGCCTTTTAACGAGCTGCCTCTCAACAGCCGGCGCTCAGGAGACCCAGCAGGGAGGGTGTCTTCACACACCTGTGGGTGTCTTTTGTCCATCGGTAGAGCGCCAGGGTAAGGGTGCCCCGTTAATAGACTGGGCAGCCCCCTGCATTTTGCAGGACAACACGAAGTCAGCCATTCGTGCATCCTTTCACTGCAGAAACGGTCCCTCATCATTCCTCCTCCTTTTGGATTTGTCAGGGCACTTGGTGGAAAATTGGCAGAAAGCCGCAAAAACGGGGGGAAAAAAATGATCCTGTGTCACCAACTTTAGGAAGAGCAGTGTGGGGCTGGTTAGCCTCAGCGAGACCTGGGCCCTCGGATACACTCAGGGCCGCTTTCCCCTCCCATTCTCTCCCTCCCCCTCTCTCCCTCACCCCCCTTCCTACTCCACCTCCCACCCTGCACCCCTGCACTCTCCCTGTATGACAACCTTCTTCACTTTGACCATCTGTTCTCCAAGAGCCTGGAACCATGAGTGCCAGAAACTCCTTCATTGTGAATTAAAAGCATTCTGGGAAGGGGCTTCGGATGAGCCCATCAGCCATAGGTCTAGCTTTTCCCCAAATCTCTGTTCCCAGAGGGTGGCGTCTTATAAGTGATGGCATTGGTACTTCAAGCCCTGGAAAAGGGCTGAGAGGCATCGATGTGACCCACTGGGGTGCTTGCTGGGAGTTGGGATCCGTCTGTGCAGTGCACACACTTTATGTTGGTATTTCTTTCTTCCTTGGTAGTCACTGTGTCCCTCGGGGGCGTTGGCAAACGCTGGGGCACTTGTCCCAGTGGCTGAGGCATTCCCACGCACAGTCCAGTGGGCAGGGCCCAGGGATGGAGGCCACCTCGGTGTGGACGGCTGTCCCACGTGTTGGAAATCTGCCCAAATGCCACTCGTGCTTTTGTTGAGAGGCACGATTTTCCAAGAGGGAATCAAAGGGCAAAGTCCTCCTGTCCTTACAGGTGATGCCCCCAGCAGTAGGTGCAGAATTATCTGCTCGGATTTGTTCTGCTCTGCAAATAAACTGCTGTTGAAAGCGATAAACTAAATATTTAACACCTGGGTAGGAAACGGCTTATCAGGCCTTACCACAGAGAAGGAAATAGGTAAGACGGTAACAGATGACTGGGACCTGCTATAGCTGTGAAAAGGAAGAGAAGAGGACAGTTTTAGAGAAAAAAAAAAAAAAGCCCATTTCACAGTTTGCACCAGCCAGAGATGGTGCAGGGGGACAAGGCTGGGAGTGAGGTTCTCCCCCCGCCCCAAATCCTCTCCATCACCTCTTCTTTGGGCTCAGACTGTCCCAGGCCGAGCTCTGCCTTGCTGGAGACACCTCCTGATGTCACCCACCCTCTAAGCATTTCATCAGAAGAAAGCAAGAGCCGGTGTCATCTTGCCCCTGAAATTGCTCATTGAAATTGCAAACGTGTCTGCACAGTGACTCACATTGCGTCAGGTCCGCAGCCACCCCACGCCCGCACCGGGCACCCACAGTCCCTGGTGACTTCCCAGCATTTGCAGACCTGGATTCTACGCAAAAATGCAGAGAGAAAAATGTGACACTTGGAGTGAAATGGAGCATTTTGTGAAGCTTTTCCAAATGAAAAGCCTTTTTAATTTTCTTACAATTGTAAATGTTTGTCCGATGTTATGATAAACTATTCAGTCTTTGTGTGAGTGACAATGTATTGTCTTTAAAGGGTGGGGACCTACTGGCCTTACCCCTCCCGGTGCATGGAGGTCGGGTTTTGGACTCTTCCAAATGTGCTGTGGATACATTTTGAGATTGGCTTAGAGGCTCTCTTTGTTGGCTTTTTTTCCCCTTTTAAAGTCACTCCTCTCCAAATCCTGGGGTCTCTACTGTTCACAGGTGTCCCATGAATAGGACATAGGTGAAGGTTAGGGTAGGGTTAGGTCCCATTCCAGACCCCTCAATGCCTTAAGGCCGATATTCTGTTGCTTTTTTGCATAATGATCCTGGATGATTTCGTCTTCCTGTGGGCTTAGCTGTGAATGGAGGTGATGTCTTGAATGGGGCACCATGACAGTCAGGGCCTGCCTGAGGGTAAAGCTGGCATCCCGAGGGCAGAGCCTGGAGAGGGTGAGCCGATGTCACCTGCATGATGTCACCTGCACCTGAGACAGCCCTGGCTCGGGTGCCCTTTCCTTAATGAGATGATGAATTCCAGTGTCACCTAGGCCAGGCCAGGTGAGCTTTGTGTGGCTGCAGGCGCACCAGTGTCAAGGAGGTAGGCTCTTAGCTGTACCCTCTTTGCTCTGCTGCAGATCGGCCGGTGACTTTGAGCATGTCACTGGACTTCTTCTAGCTGGCCTGCCCTCAGCTGTCAGTGAGAGCATCACCTGAGACAACCCCAAGGACCTGTGACCCCTGAAATGTAATTTCCTGTGGTCTAGCTTATTTGGGACTCAGGGATTAAGGAACTAGGGGTCCCCAGTGGCAACACTGTTCCGTGACAATCACCAGGAGCGGGGGTCAGAGGGGAGAGGGCTGAGCACCTGGCATGTGCTGGGACCTTTAAACAAAACATCCCAGTTAGTCTAGCAGAGCAGCCCCATCCAATGCTAGGACTTGTCCCATTTCACAGATGACAAAACCAAAGCTCAGAGAAGTTCAGTCACTTGCCCGAGATCACACAACAGGATGGTGACAGAGCGCACTTTGAGTCCCAGTCTGCCCAGATTTCCATGCCCACTTTTGCTATTTCCCCTTCTCGGCGGGAGGGAGAGGGATACTTGCCTCGAGGACACGCACAGGAGAATGTCTTACACACAGCTGACATTTTCAGGTTTTAACGGAGTTGTACCATCTCCCCACATCTAGACATGAGCCTAAACCAAGGTGCTTGGAGTGAACAGAGAATTCAGCCAGGAGATGCTTGAGCACGTGGCCGGGCTCCCGGCTGCAGACTCAGGCTTCTATTCTGCAGCAAGCCTGCTGAGTCCTTCTGTGTCTAACGCTGGCCACCGGGACCCCAAACTGGCAACAACTTGGCAACAACTGTCTTCTCCAAAATTCGCCTCCATCTAATAATTTCTTATCGGCACTGNAGCAAGCCTGCTGAGTCCTTCTGTGTCTAACGTTGGCCACCGGGACCCCAAACTGATAAGCCCACTTGGCAACAACTGTCTTCTCCAAAATTCGCCTCCATCTAATAATTTCTTATCGGCACTGAATTCAATTAGGTCATTCATCTGTCCGGTCAATGTTGCCAGACACGGGCCATTCATAGCCACAGAGATCCAACTTACGCCTCCATTCACTTGAGCAGGCAAATAGAAGGTATTTTATTGGTGCCTTTGTATGTGGGCTCCGTTGCCTTCTGTCTTTCCATAATTAAAAATGGGGCTTTAGCGTAAGCATTCAGGTGTAGGTGTGGGTTTAACCTGCCTGGACCTCAAATGCAACCGCTGTTGCTTTGCTCGGTTTGCATTAATAATGGCTAAACCGCTTTGCGATGTGGAACTCATGACAGCCACTCAGATGACTAATTGCAGTTCTCCAGGGGCTCACCCCTGGTATCTTGCTTTGGGGTACAGGACATTTGGAAGCCTCTGTTCTCATAGGTAAAGAAGACTAGATCCCAATTGCTTAGGGGCGATTCTCCCAGCACTGCAGGGAGGGGGAATGCTTCAGAGGTGTAAGCTCTGGGCTCCGGCGAAGACCAAAGGTTCCTATTTTATTACACAAACAGACCCAAAGGTGACCGTCCTTGCCACCCCATAAAAAGGGACGTCTTCTTGTGGAGCCAATGGGCTGAGGCTGCTTTATGAAATAAAAACCAGATCTAGCTCCATTGTACTCAGCAAGCCCGGCAGCGCGGGGGAATTACATTACCTGTCTGACCTCGTTAGGCTTGCTAGCAAATGGATGGAACGAGATGATGCAATTTGCTTTGTGAGCTGGCCCTTGGAATCAGATGTGCCAAGGGGGGGGCGGAGGGGGCTGCAGGAGGATGGCTCTGGGACCTGGGCTGCTCTCAGCCCATCGCTGAGGCTGGAGTCCCGGAGGACGGGGGTCTGCCTGCTTCCCTGGCCGTGTGTGTCATCGCCGAGCCCACTGGAGCCCAGGAGGATTCAAGAAGAAGTGGATTGGGATGCTGCTCTCACCCCCTACTCTATCCCTGATCGAGAAAACCATCTAGGGAAAGCAGAAAGGGCCAGTCCCGGTTTGGCAGAAAGGATTGTGTTTGGTGTGGGGGTGGATTCACAGAACGCTCAGATAAGCAAATTGTAGCTTAAGCAAACAAGGGTTTATTTGAAGCATATTATAAGAAGTGAAGACGGAAGGGTTTCAGACTTTGTGCATTGGCTCCGTTTGGTCACACTGACCCAGAATCTCTTTTTCCGCATCCTTGTTGGCATTTGTCTGCATCTTGGTTGCAAGATGGCTGCTGTTCCTCCAGGTATCACGTCTGTGTTCCAGGTAGGAGGAAGGGAGAAGGGGGAAAAGCAAAAGGCCTTCTGTGGTAGGCAGCATTCTGAGGTGGTCCCCCAAGACTTCCTGTCCTAATCCCAGATGCTGTCAATATGATGAGCTATCTACCTGTAGTTGTGTTTATGTGATAAATGGAATTGTGTAATCCTGATTGCTACTCAGGTGGCTTTGCATTAATCAAAAGGGAGGCTGCCTTGGTTGGGTCTAACCTAATCCAATGTGGGTCATCTCTAGGGGCTGAAAGTGAGTGATGCTTGGACCCTGGAGGACAGCCAGCAAGGAGATGGAGACCCTGGTCCTGCAACCACACAGGACTGAATTCCGATGGCCTGAATGAGCTTGGAAACAGGTAATTCCCCAGAGCCTCCAGATGTGAGTCCAGCCTGGCTGACACCTTGGTTTCAGGCTTGCGGGACCCTCAATTTGGAACCCAGCTGAGCTCACCTGGGCTTCTGACCTCCAGCACTAGGAGCTGACCAGTGGGGGATGTTGCAAGCTGCTGTGTTGCTTGTATTTGTTATGGCTGCAATAGAAAATTACCATACCTTGCTATGAGGTTTGGGCTTTTATCTGGGGAGGGTCAAACGAGCAGACGTCAAACTAGACTCTGGGTGCCAGGCCCACCAACAAAAACATCCAGTGAGCAAGGCTGCCATGATGTCTCAGCAGGCTTCCTTTATTAGGCTGTGCAAATCAGGGGCCAAGAGTGAGGGGCAGGGGAGGGGAGAGAGGGCAGGGTCTTTGCCCATCACTCAGCAGGACAGATCACTCCACCTTGTGGGCTGGGCTTCTGAGAGGGTGTGGGAAGGAGGGGGTCTCACCAGGCCCTGGTGAGGGAGAGAGCAAGAAGGCTTTATCCCCTGGCTCCCGTATCCACAGGTCAGAGGTCCACCCTATGTGTGGCTGGGTGTGCACCTGTGGGGGCTGAGCGGATAGCATCTCACATCTCAGGCCAACAGGGCACCTGGTGCTGGGCATAGGGCCATCCCTCGTGGCCCTTCTGAATGGTAGGACACATGGCACGGCCAAAGGGGATCCCCCCAAGAGAAGTTAGGCAGGGCCCACACTGAGCCTGGCTGCAACAGAATATTCCAGATGTTTGCTGGTGGGGTGGCTTTTTTGTCCCCAAAGACTGGACAAGACTAGGGCTACGGGTAGGAGGCAGGGGTGACTGAGAGTAGAAGGGAAAGAATTAAAGGTCTGGGCAGGGCTCCCCGACACAGGAAGAGGGGCCCTAAGTCAGCTGCTGTATGACAGTGACTTCATGCTCAGCCGTGCTTGAATGGGGACCCCCTGCTGCAGCCCTGACACCTACAGGTGACTCCCCACCCAACAGCCTCAGAGACAGACACACACCATGAGCGGGGGTGGAGGGTTCGGACACATTTAGGGGGTGGGGTGTGAAGAGAAAAGCTCACCTCGGACCAAGGTAGAAATCCTGTGTGTACCTGGACGGGGAGGCCACACCTGTACCTTTGTGTCTACCTTCCCGGCTGGATTTTACCTGCAGTCATGATGTCACTGGCCCTGGTGCTGTTCACAGCATTGTTTTGAAGATCCAATTGGAATGGAGACATGCAAGCTCCAGTGCTGCTCCCACATGAGATCTCTAGTGAAGGAAACCCCTTTTGGAAATGTTCTGTGTTTCCATCATGATGCAGGAGTTACGGTGTCGAGGAGGTCATGGAGTGAGTATGACCCAGGCTGACCCTAGAGCTGGCCCTGGGACAGTGAAAAGAGGCCATCTGGACATTGACCATGTCTGACCCTGCGGAGGCCTCGATGAACTAGAAGATTCTGGAGGGCAGAGCCCAGGTGCCCTGGTCATGTGGCACTCAAGACAAGCCATGGGTGGACGTCCCTGATTATTAAAACCACCACCACCACGTATCCACAGTGGCTTCTCGCTTCCATCCCTCCTTGCCTTCCGTGTACCAGCCAGTTCAGATCTCACCAGGAATGTCCCTGTGGTTGCCAGGCAGCACCGGGTCCTGAGATGACCAGGCCAATTTCCGTTCACACGTAAGACACTCGTCTAAAATAGCCATTGGCTCACCTTAAAAAAGGTTATTCCTTCAAATAAATCAAAGAACTATCTGCGAATGGTAGGTACGTTCGTAGCAAACCCTCTGATTAGACAATGAACAGAGTGTAAGTTTGTAGACGCTGGGGGTCGGCGAAGATGACAGGTTCAGAAGCCACATCCTTTTTCAGGATAGCCAAGATCCTGAGTGACCAGATGCGGTGTCACCGGGAGTCCGGAAGGGACAGAGGGTGATGGGGATTCAGGCAGGCGGTGGACCATTCCTGAGATGGGCAAGAACCTCAGAGACAAGGGAACCTGGACCGTCACTCTGCAGCATGACTGCAACCTCCCACCTGCCGCCGATGTGGACACGAACACACGACAAACCCACTGGCCAAGTCCCGAATCTCTGCAGCGGCATTGCCAACAGTGAATTTTGTTCCCGGTCATGTGATGCTAGGACCTCGGTCATCTGCTTGAAGGAACGCCCCCTGATGGCAGGGACTGTGGCGCTTGTTCACTCCTGTAGCCCCAGTGCTTAGCACCATATTTGGCCCAAATTACATGCTCAACACAGTTGTTGAATAAGAAGTTAATAAAGCAGCCACTGCTCGGAGTCTGGAAACACAGGTCTGGAGGGACCCACGGGGCTGAGTCAACTAGAGCAGGTGTCAGGCAGTAAGAAGAGGTGGGGAGTGTGGCAAAACGACACACACCACCCAGGTTTAAAGGTGGCCAGTGTTTGACCCTGGCCGATGGCTGCCATGTGCGAGTGGAGATCCCGTGTCACTAAACTGACTGAAATGTGTGTAAAATATCCTGATGTGTAAGTGTTGGCCAATTTCTTTAAAACATGAACTAAGCTTTAAAAAACAACAACAGGGCTGGCCAAGTGGCGTGATGGTTAAGAACTGGCTTGGGATGCCAGAGGGCCCCGGTTCGGATCCCACATATGAGGACCAGTGACACTGCCCTCCACAGCTAAGATGCTGAACAACAGCTCAACCTGGAGCTGGGCTGCCATGAATCGCCGGCAACGGTGTAGGCTGCAGCCCCTGCTGCAGCGGGTTGCCATGGGCTACCGTGTGTAGCCAGTAGCCAGCGTGAGCGGCCAGCAGCCGCAGTGAGCGGCCGTCCAGAAGCCGGCGACTGATGTGCCTCGCCTGGGAAGAGCGCAATGATGGTGCCAACTTGGGCCAGTGAAGCAACGTCCTCCACAACTAGACTGAAGAACAAAAGGACAGCAACTTGTCTGTTCCCCTTCCCCCAATTCCCCAGCGCTGTTCCCATCCCCCAATTCCCCAATAAAAATCTTTTACAAAAATAAATAAATAAATAAATAAATAAACAACAACAACAACAAAATAAAAACCTGTGGGTCTATGAGATTTTTCTGGCTCCGACTGGGTGATCTTGTTGAAACAAGGACCCTGAGGGAAATTGCTGCCGGAAAGTACTCGTGAAAAACTTGTGAGCGAGTGACTCTTTCTACATCCGTGTTTCTGCCGGGGTGGAAAGGCATGCACCTGTGAACAGCCTTGGCACACTGGTGGGTGAGACTTGTGGTTCCTTTGATGCACTGCTCTTCCTGCAATGGCGCGTGTGAGGTCGCGTCTGCAGAGAGGCGTATTGGTTTGGGCGTGTTGGTTTGGGCGCCGGAAGGAAGCGAGGCAGCCTGAGGTGAGGTCATGACAAACAGACAAAAGGACGCTTTGGAATCCTGGTAAACAGAAGCCGGAGGCAGGTCTTCCTGCAGACGTGTCACTGCTGTCAGCCAGCCTATCCTCCCTCCAGAGCGCGGGCCCTGTGGGGCAGACTCGGTGGAAACCAGGAGGAAGGAGTGCTGGTGTGTTTTGGGGGCTCACCACCTGTGTCCCTGGAGAAATGGAATTCTCTTCATCCCTGTCACTTGAGGAGGAAAAGGTTTGGGTGTGTTTCATGGGAAATGCAGACACAGTACAAAGAGAGGCTGTCTGTCACTCGTCAGGCGGGTTCTGTGCGGGGTCCTAGAGCTGTGGTAACAAATGGCCACACACGTGGGGGCCTAAAACATAGGAGTTTATTTATTCTCGCACAGTTCTAGAGGCTAGAAGTCCAAAGTGGAGATGCGGGCAGGGCCGTGCTCCCTGCAAACTCTAGGGTTGGAGCCTGCCTTTCCCCTCCAGCCTCTGGTGGCCCCGAGACTTGCTTGGTGTTAGCTGCTGAGTGACGCCGCTGTGTCTGTGCACCCTTTCTGTCTCTTGTGAGGTCACTCTCACTGGGTCAGGGCCCCGCCCATCCAGTGTGACCTCATCCCCACTGTTACCTTAACTACCTTTGCAAAGGCCCTATTTCCAAATAAGGTTATGTCCTGAGGTTCTGGGTGGACATATGTTGGGGGCACTATTCAACCCGCCACAGGATCTGAAGGCAGAATTGGGGGTATGGGGGGGAGGAAAGGATGATTTATTGTATCTTTTATTTCCCCTGGTCACATGGATAAGGTCATTAGATAGGAGATGTGGCCTGTGGCAGAGGGCTGCAGCCTGGCCAGGAAGACCTCGCAGGAAGGGAACTGGAGGTCATGCTAGGCCTGCTGCCATCCAGTCTCTCGCTGTGCCTCCCGCTGGCCAGAGCCAGCTGGATGCTGAGGGCAGGATGCCCACGGATGCACAGCTGCCCACCCTCCCCGTGCAGGATCAGCTAAGATGTACATACGTACAGGAGCCAAACAGACGGAGAAAAATCCAGCCCAAAGCGTCCCGTCGGAGGAACCAAGTGTGCAGGTCAGGCAGGTATACAGCCCCCAGCCAGGTGTGAGCGTAGCTGCGAAGGGAGTTTATGATCACTCATGCTGCCGTCATTCCCTCCTGCGAAAGGGCCTTGAGTGGTGCAAACAGATTACAAAAGAGATCCCTCCTCTTGACCCTTGAAGAAAAAAGAGGAGGCAAGGGCTGTATCTACTTTCTTAGAAACACTGACGTCTTATGACTGAGTCCATTGTCACGTCCCATCTGTCCAGGGATGCAGAGCGTCTGGGGCCTGTGTTAAGGCATGATCAGGTCCAGCATTTTTAAATGGTGGGTTGTGACCCACTAGGAGGCCATAACTGATGAAACGTGCAGCCACCAGCTTTTAAAACGTGGAGTAAAACTGAACAAAATACCTGAAAGCGTGGTACGTAGCCTCCTGCCATGGCCACAGTGCACGGCAAAGGACGATGGGAAATGCCATTTGTCTTTTTTTTTTTAGCTGAGCCATCCTCCCACCTGCTGGCAGCTCAGCGGCTGCTCAGCTCAGGCCGGGACTCGAACCGCTGTTGCTCAGAGCTGAAACTCTTGAGTGAGCTCTTTACCAACTGAGCCACTCGGCCGGCCCTGGGAAATCCCATTTAATTGAGGACGGGAGAGAAACAGAAATAGGCATGATACACATCCCCAAGGCGTGGAGCCTTGTGTATGGTCTTGGCTCTGACTGAGTGGGAAAGAAACGATTCCGGCAGGTGACCCTGCAGAGGAGAGCTGGTCCCGACAGATGCCCGCGCCCCACACAGCAAGCATCCATGTGTGTAAGTGGGGTCTTGCAGACTGGACGGGAACCAGACCTACAGGCTCATAACCCGTCAGCCGACAAGCCCAGAAGTGGGGAACTGTTCTCATAGCCTCCCCGCTAGACTGGAATTCCCAAGGAAGTGCTTATGGCCCCACTTCGGGTCATTGCTGACCCATTACTGACCCCAGCTCTGTGGCTGGGCGGTGGGTCATGTCAGCATCTGGAACCGTGAGCAGGTCAGCTTCCCGGCGGCCCTCATTGGGCTGACCATGGAGGGGCCAGGTTTCGGCAGACGGGCCAAACCACAGGTGTCCACTACAGCTTCAAGGTCAAGATCCCCCTCCAGCAGCGGCCTGCAGCCACGCCTATTCCAGGTAGAGAGGCAGACAGACTTCCCAGGACCGAGGTGGGGGCGGTGGTCGGGACCCCAGGAGGTGTCCGTGATGCTTCTGCCCAGAGTGCCTTTAGTCATGAGTATGAAGTGGGCAGGGCGTGTCGATGTCAGCAGGCAGAATAAATAGACGGTGCGTGATTGCTGCGAAACGCGCGTGCCGGAGGTGTGGGCTGGAGCTGCCTTTTGGAACCGCAGCTGCAGGGTGGCCGGAAGAGTCTCGTCATCAGCTCACAAGCAGAAGTGATTTTAACTCCGTCTTCCTCCTCCTCCTCGTCTGGCCCTAACTGCGCCTTGGCTTCCCTCGCTAACAGATGAGAACAGACGTGTTCATCCCAAGTGGAGGAGAATGCAAAGAACGGGGGACGATGGGGGAAAGTGGAGGAGAGTGAGGGCTCTGGCTAAGACCACTCATGGTCGCAGTGCCATCCTGGCGTCACTGTGACAGCTTCGGGCAGGTTCCCCTTTGTCAAAACCCTCCAGTTTCCCCTTCTGTAAACAGGATGGTCTTAATTTTGACCTTGTAAGCTCCTGGGAGGATTCACTGACAGAGACAGGTCCTCATGGCCACTAAGCAGCGGTGACCATGAGATTGAGGAAGAAGCATCAGAAAGAAGGGGAGGAACCAGAGGAGAGGAGCCCTGGGGGATGGACTCGGGGCGGCCAGGTCCTCAGCGGCAGCTGCTTTCCTTCTGGGGCCACCTGATGATCTGTAATGGGAGCAGAAAAGCATTTCAGTCTCACCAACCAGTGAGCAAGAAAAGTTGAGTTCTGTGAAGTCCACGTGTTTCTGTTGGGCGGGACCTGACGCTCAGGCAGAAGAGAGGCCGGCTTTTCCCTGGCATTGGGTTGCCCTCTCAGGGGGCCTGGGGCAGCCAGGATGAGGCAGTGTTGCTGAAGCGACTCGGGGCATGAACGCTGCGGCCACACCGTCTGGGACCAAAACAGTGCTCCGCTGTGTGACCTTTGCAAGGTGCTGGCCTTCTCTGTGCCTCTGTGTCCCCAGATGCAAAGTGAGGGTGGCAGAGGATCTAGGCCGTTGCTTGGTGAGGATTAAACGGATTCTCCCGCAGCTCTGGGAGCACCATGTGGACGGAATACGGGGGACAGCGCCCCCTGGAGCCCACGGACAGTACAGTGCAGAGGCAGAGGCACATTCTGGTGGGAGACCGCTCACCTGGCCTCCCCATTCAATGTGTGATGAGCAGTGAATGGCTTTGCCCGCCCACCCTGCCTGGACATGCCCTCACAAAGCCCTCGGAGAACGTAGCCCAACCATGCACACCAGGTGCCGATAATGAATTCCCTACTAGTATCTCCGGGATGTCCAAAACTTCCCCCCACAAATCTGCCCCGCACTGGGGGATCCTGAACCTCCAGTTACTTTGGGGGATTAAAATGAATTACCCAAAGAGTTAAATATGCGTGTTTTCCCGCAGAGGGACCATAGAAGCTCATGATGAAATGACAGCGGGCAAACCCCAGTGGCACCTTAGACCATCTAGGGAGCCACCGCCCAGAACACGCCCCAGAGGCCCTGGATGCGTGGTCTGCCCTGGGGTCCAGGCGTGAACACTGCTGGAAGCTCCCCAGCTCACTGTAACACACAGCCGGGGTGCGAGGCTGGACCTTGCGTGAACAGGACGAGACCCGTGTGGGCCGTGGGAGGAGGCAGGAACGGCTTCAGCAGGCGTGGGGCTCAGCGAGGCGGGGAGGGGAGCCCTCCGTCCACCGTTCGGCCGCCCTTCCAATGAAAGAAGGACCTAAGTCTCCTTGGACGGGCCCTGCCTCTCCCGCCCCGCCTCACACACTTTTGTTCCCCTTCACTCCAGCCACACAGGCCTTCTGCGCATTTCTGGAAAACACCTGGCGGTTCTCCACTCAGGGCCTTCCACCTGGGGCTCTCTCTGCCCAAGAACCCACCTGGGGCGCATCCCACTGCCGGTTGGAAGGAAGCCAGAGTGGCCGTG